ACCCCATGCAAGCTAAACAACTCACTGCCATCAGGTCTTGTCCACCTTGCAGCAACTCTATAAGACAGAATAGAACTGCCCCATGGGTTTCTGAGACTGTTACTGCTGGGGTGGGGGGGGCCTCATCTTTCTCCCATGGAGCAGCTGGTGGTTTTGAACTACACTTACAGCCCACTGCATAGTCCACTCTACCACCAGAGCTCCTTACCCAGCTAAAGTCCTGTCATTTCTGGTGACACCTCAGTTTTCCACTTCTGACCCCCCCCCCAAAAAAAAAAGCCAAACTCACTGCCATACCATTGGCAGTGACTTATAGCAATCCCATAGGACATGTAGGACTGCCCCTATGAATTTCCAAGATGGTGACTCTTTTTATTTCTTCCAAAACCATTGTACTGGGAGCTAATCCAGACATCGTATCATTCCACAGTTCAATCACATCAAGCAATATTTTACAATTACTACCACAACCAGTTTCAAAGCATTCTCTTCCAGCAGAAATAGAACATACCTAAAGTACCTGAAGTACCTGAAAGTACTGGCAGTAGAGAGAACCTGACCGTTTCAAATTGCAGACCCACTACAGCACCAGGGCTCCTTCCTGATGACTTCTATTCAGCCAATTTTGTCGGCTTTACCTTTAAAATTGATCCAGTTCTCTGCAAGAACTATAGTTCAGGTGTTCAACATTTCTCATATAGATTAATTTGAACCTCAAACCAGGCCCTTGCTTCCATCACTGTCTTCCTGCAGTCTATTTTCTTCTCAGCGTTGAGTGATCCTTTCTAAGCCAGAGTGAGGTCAGGTCACTCTTCTGTTCAAATCCCTCATAGCTCTTGTTGGACTCAAAAGACAAAACCTTACTGTGGTTTACAAGGCCTTGGTGATCTGGCACCCCTTGTCCCACTTTTTTCCATCTCCAGTCCTTAAATTATCTCTGACTTCATCCCACTCCCAACCCTTTCACCCTCACCGCAGACTGCTCTTTCCTTACCGGCCTCTTTGCTTCCCTTGAAATACACCTGGCACTTTCCAGGTTTTGAACCTTTGTACGTGAGGCTCCCTTTGCTTAGAATACTCATCCCCTAGATATGTAGACCAATAAGCAACATCATGATAAATGGAGAGAATATTGAAGTTGTCAAGGATTTCATTTGACTTGGATGTGCAATCAACACCCATGGAAGGAGCAATCCAGAAATCAAAAGGCATATAGCACGGAGCAAAGCTGTTGTAAAAGATCTCTCTAAAACGTTACGAAGTAAATGTGTCGCTTTGAGAACTCAAGCTTTGGTACTTTGAATCTCTACATATGCACTCAAAGCTGGGCAATAAATAAGGCAGAGTAAGAATTAATGCCTTTGAATTATGGCTTTAGCATAAAATACTGACCATACCACAGACCGCTAGAAAAAGAAACACACCTGACTTAGAAGGGTACAGCCAGAATTCTTTTTAGAAGGGAGGATTGGGAGACTTCACCTCATGTACTTTGGACATATTATCAGGAAGGACCAGGCCCTGGCAAAGGGCATTGCACGGGCAGTGCATTATTTAATGTGGCTCATATCCAAATTCTCTAACTCCCACCAAAGAACCTTTCTCTGCGTGAGTCTGTTAAGATGACACTGATAGGATTCGCCTGTAAGTAATTGTGAATCAGATTCCCAGGAGTGCCATTCTGCTGCATGTAAGAGTTAGCCCCCTAAGAAGCAGGGCCGAATTACCAGAAAGAGTCAGGAGTGAAGTACGTCCTCTGGACCCAGGATTCCTATGCAGCGAACTTCCTGGACCCAGAAGGCAGCCATAATATCCGAGGAGGAGCAGCAGAACAGGAGCCAGAGCATGGACCAGAGTGATGGACTTCCCAACCCACGGTGCAAATGAAATTCAGTCCTTTTGTGCAGGAGGATGCCTTGCAGAGTGGGGTGCCTTTGAGCACTTAATTGGGGGAGCTGGACTTGCTGACCCACAGAGCTTAAGGTGAATGCCTTTGGGTTGAAGCTTATAGCAGAGGGGTATGCCCTTTGAGCATTTATAAGCAGACTTGGGAGAATTTTGTAACGTGTCCTGATAACTCAACTCTGATATTTCTCACTGGCCTTTCAACTAGGGAACTTCTTAACAAACCTTTTGATCATTATTTTTTTTTCCTCTGAGTTTTGTATAGCCATTGTAATGGCTATTAAAAACTAGAAAGGTAAAATAGTGGACCTTAATTAAGATAGCACACACATCAGTCATGGCAAAAAGGAGGAAGACATTTAGTGAATGGATTGACACTGTGCCTGCAACAATGAGTTCAAGTCTAATGAGTGTGAGGACGGCCCAGGACTTGGCAATGTTTCATAATGTTGTACACAGGGGCCCTATGAGTCGGAATCAACTCAACAACACTTAACAAAAATAAGACCAACTGCATGCCTAGCTCTGTTATTTCAAGTCTTTGTTCAAATCTCACCTCCTCAGTGAGGTCTCCCTGGACCCCTCCATGTAAAATGCCACATCTCTCCTCAGATACTCCTTAAGTTGCTTAACTTCATATGGAATGTATCATATATTGTTTATTTAACAATCCCATTGTTTGTGTTAACAAAGACATCTTTATTTCTCCCCTGATAAAATGTAAACTGAAGGAGTAAAGGATTTTTGTTTGTTAACTGATATATGTCCAGCCTTCCAAAAGATGGCCTGGCACATTAAATACATTCAATATTTGTTGAACAAATTAAGAACAAATCCATTCCAGAATTCTGAACTACATAAGCTTTTGAGTTCTGAGATCTAACTTTTGAACTTTAGTTATCTAAGCTGATGTGGAGTCTAGGTTTGCGTAGTTTTTTTTGAGTAAGTTGTTGGATACAAACACATCTGCTCAACCCCGTTCATTGAATCCAAAACTTCTGGTAAATGTGACTCTATCAATAAATTCAGCTACATCGAAAATTCTGTTCCTCCTTAAGTCAAGCAACCTCAAAATCTTTACCCACAGGTATCCCCAAGATTTCCTTCAGGCACTGTAATTGATATCAGGGCATGCCCTGTGTTACGGTTTAAATGTGTTTGAATTCTAACCCCAATACCTGCGGATGTCATCCCATTTTAAACTGGGACTTTCTTTGTTATGTTAATAAAGTCATAAGAGATTAGGATGTGTTGGAAACCTAACCCCCTCTGAACTCAAGAAAGATATGAAGACCAGCAGGCACAAAGGAGGAGATAATGGATTGCCTAGTGAAGAGCTCTGTGGAACCCAGGACACTGGGGTTAGAGAGGCTGAAGGAGGCAAGGATCTTTTCCAATACCTGAGAGAGAGAGAGAGAGAGAGAGAGAGAGAGAAAGAGCCTTGTCCTGGGTTTGGATTGTGAACTGTGTGAACTCTCATCTTCAAAGGCACATGCTCGTGGTATTTCTATTGCAGCAGCACTAGGGAACTTAGACACCCTACTCACAGATCTAGAGATAGAAGGTGTGGGGTGAATGAGCTTACAAGAGAATTAAGATCATACTCTTAGGAAAGAGATAGTGTCCCATCTGAAATTGCTAAAAACCAACTTTAGTCAATATTTTCAAAGAATGATAAAATTCAGAAACGGAGTCTTAATTAAGATAAATATTAGCTGCCAAAAGGTACCTAAGACCCTAAAGGATGTTTATAAATAGTCAATCCACATTTAGGAACAGTAGTATATCTTAGTCATATAGGAGAATAGCATCGTCAAGCATGTGAGAAGGGCCCTCATCAAGGAGCAAGGGAGACTCAACCTCGATTAGGACATCAAGGTACCCTGAGTTTTCCAAGTCTGCCTTGTTTCATCACTTGTGTGCACGTACCCAACTCGTTCCAATCGATAAGCATAAGAGCCCAAGACGGGCTGCAATTCAGTAGACTCAATTTGGCAATGCACAGATTGACATTAGAGTTTGGCTTTGCCCAACTTGTTTACCTCTGGAGAGAAGGAGGAGATTAAAATCAATTTCAAAATGATATGAAGTATGGAAAGTTAATTCTCTTATGCATCTCGGTTAAGTGGAACAATCACGTAGTAGCAGCCTGGTGCAGGCATACCCTTCTGTGCGGCTGTACTCAAGGCAGATACCCAATTCCATGGTGTGTTTGATCTCTTTTGCCATTTTTCCCCTTGGCTTTCAGCTCCCAAATTCGTGTATTTGACAGTACCCTTTCCTTTCTCAGTGATAGTTTTGGTTTCTTCAGACTATAGCCCTTCCTCTACAGCAACATATGTAGGAACCACTTGGAGTAATAAGACTGCTCTCTCCAATTTCCTCTATGTCTTAGCTAGACAGAGATTGGCTTCAACCTAGACAACTAGTGAAGAGGGTAAGGTATGTTAAAGAACACATAACATGACATAAGATCAAAAAGGAGAGATGCTAAACCTCTCCTAGTGTCATCAGGGAAGACTGCCCAGAAGAGATTACTCTACAGGATGCTAGTAATAATATTAAGTATGTTAAAAAGTGCTCTACATATATTATTTCATTTTATCTTTCAATAACCCTATAAACTAGACTCTGTTCTTATCTGTATTTCATAATCGAAGGAGCCAAAGCTCAGCAACTTTAAGTAACTTGCCCAGGAACACACAGCTTGCAAATGGAGCTGGAATTCAAACTGAGTGAACCGGCTTCTGAGTTACAAGAATCTTAACGACTGGTGATCACATTGGGATGTATTGAAACTAGAGACATGAGCTTCTAGGAGGGGCATGTATATTATCTTAAGGAAAAGATAACGAGGGCTGGATCAGAGCAGCAATATTAATGATGGAAAGGAGATGGACTTGGATACCATAAAGAAATTGAGGCTTTTGTATTTCAAATATATCAAAAGTACTAGAGCGGGAGATAAAATAACCGAGTTCCTCTAGTTGCCTCTGTCTTATTCATGTGATAGTACTGATTAAAGTTTCAGATTCAAGAGCATTATCTAGGCTCTGCAAACATTGTACAAGTTTTCACACGAGAAAATAGATATATTCTTTTGTAAATAATAGCATTTAATATTTCCATGTTGAGAAAATATGTGAATATTATTTTATTTTACAAGATTCTAAAAAGACATAAAAAATAGACCTTTTATACATAAAGGAAAACCAGATTACAAACCAGAACTTATCTTTATGACATTACCATTGCTTGACCTTTAAAACTTAATCTAGGAGAAAAAAGGCTATAAAAACCTCACTGTCATTGGGTTATTCATGACTAATAGCGATCCTATGAATCTTGGATAGCTATCTGAAAATAAGGACTAGAATATTTTATATATGACCAATTTATTAACAATTCATTTGGAGCATTACTGAATGTCAGTTAGGACGATTCTTATTGCCACTCCCTGCCCCCGAGTGATAGATGAAATTTCTAAAAACCAATTTTGGTTAATATTTTCAAGGAATGATAAAATTCAAAAATGCAGAGCCTTAAGATAAATATTAGCTGCCAAAAGAGACCTATGACCCTAAATGATGTTTTTATAAATAGTCAATCCACATTTATGAACAGTAGTATATCTTAGTGGGTAGCTAAGTTAAGGCAAAAAAACCCAACTTTTATCTATCAGATATAATCTATTTTCATTAACATGTTAAAGATCACCAGAGTCTAGAGTATATATTGAATGGCATGAAACTCTAAAGAGAAATTGTTACAGAATATCTTGTTGAGAACTCTTATGAAAGTTAATTGGAAAATTAAATTTTGATCCTTTGAAATAAGGGAGAAAGAAAGGCAAGCTTACATGGATTAATGCATTTGCCAGTATCCTGAAATTACACCTATTTTCTATAAGTAGATACTCTCTATATATGCAGATAATTTTAAGAAAAGTATAATAAAGTAAAATAATGTTCTTCTATCTTATTCATATAATAGTATTGTTAGTTTTCAAAAAGTTAAGACTATTGATACTCAGAAAATATCTGATCTCATAGAGAGTATCTGATCACAGCTTCCTATCTATGAAGTGAATCACTTAATGATATTATTTCTTAGGTGATAAAATTGACCTTCAGCCTATTATAGCCTATGTACAAATGCTGCATGCACCTCCACCACACCTTACCCTCCCTGCTCTAGACCCACTCCTTAAAAAAAAAAATCCTACCAGTAGTCTAGCACAGTAATGAGAAATCTTAAATTAAAAGCTATGGGGCACACAGAGCCAAGGAAATGAAAGCCATTTTCACCATCAGACATAAAAAGAGTTAAGCCATGGCCTTTAAGAGTACATTCTTTAGGGAATGTTTTTACGTGTGACATTAAGCTATCACATTTTAAAGTATTGGAAGGACAAATACTTTATAGTTCATGACTATCATATGAGCATGTTTAATTGTATATATTTGTTTCCATTGGTTAGAAACTATAATGCTATATAATCTCCTTGACCCAGAGTAAGTGCCAGGAGTTGACTATGTTCACCTCAGAATGAGAATTAGAATATTTAGAGGCAAATAATTATCCAAATCACCATTTATAGCCTGAAAAGAGTAATGTAACCTTCAGATTTACTTAAAGCATAGCCAAAATATAGTTGTGGAAAATCTAGCCTGCTGAGTAAACAATTATTCTAGCAAGTAATACAATTTTTTTTAATCACTATAAGTTGAAAATTATACATTTAATGTATAATCAATATAATTTCTGATTACTTGCAAATGTTCATTTGGGTAACAGCATTATAATAGCAAAATATATTAATTTTCAGCTTTATTTCAAATATTGTGTAGCCTAGGAACCCAGAGATATGTTTTTGAGCCATGGAAGAGGAGTGTGAAGCTAGGCATTTCCCCATGTGCTGAAGCCCTCTTACATACTAAAACCTGTAGGAATGCGCACTGGTGACTACTCATGGCTTAAAGTGTTTGGGTCTAATCATCATCCTGGCTTCTTTGAAGGAGAACTTGTAGCCACTAGGCTGGGCCTCAGTAATCCCAGGCCATGTGCCCCAGAAAATCCCATTCCGGACCCCTTTGTATTTTTGGTGATAATACTTGCCATTTAAGTTTGCGGAAATACATGCATCAAACCACCAGCCCGAACTGTAGAAGAGCCCACAGTTCCCAGAAGGATAGCGATCGTTGTCTCGATCGGGGGTGGTAAAAAACTTCATATCATGGTTATATTGCTTACTGAAGTGCAATGCATCGCCTGCTGTGCCGTTGTAGTTACCAACGTGTACACGGTATTTGAGAAACTCGTTAGCCACATAAAAATGATCATACAAGGCATATAGTTTGACACCATTAAAGTCTTCGAGGTCTATTCTCAGAATCATATCCTTGCTCTTGGTCAGAAGGTGGATTTTATCATTCCCCAGCCAAAATTCTCTTCGAATATTTCCAAAGCCTACTTTGTAGTCTTGCCAACTTCTGTTGAAGTTGGTGCTTCCATCAAGACGTGCCTGCAGCACTGTCCAGCCTCCTCCCATGGTCTCCATGTCACAGTAAACTTCGAAGCTGCTGTATTTGCTATCAGGTGTAACCCTGTAGGTCTCGCTGCTTCTCTTGCCTATTGCATGGTAGTCAGAGCAATCTTTGTATATTAGGTGTTGCACTGAAGGATGGAGAAAAGGAAAGCATTGGTTAGTCAAACGATGCAGCTGAGTAATTCTTTATATGTACAAAGACAGCTTGGTAATTCAATAAGTCAATGGCAATGACAAAACTTTGTCCTGTTAAACTTTCTTGAAATTGTTTAGCAAATGTTTAAGGACCAAGAAATAGTTGTCAGGGAGACCTAAGAACTGTATTTTGTGACCTGATATGTTATTAAAGCAGAACTAGACTCTCAAATATATCCTTGGTTGGTAATAACGACTACATCAGCAACAAACAAGCTATAATAAGAATAATAAAGAAAAATAATAGCAACAATTTAGTGAGTTCTACCTTATATATTCTCAGTACTGTGCCAAAGATTTGATAATATTTCATACCTAAAGACCAAAAAACCCCAAACAAACTAACTCACTGCCCTTGAGTCAGTGCCAACTCACACTGACCCGATAGGACAGGGCAGAACTGCTCCCGTTGAGTCTCTGAGACTGTAACTTTCTACAGCAGTAGAAAGCCTTATCTTTCTCCTATAGGGTGGCTGTTAGTATCAATCTGCTGACCTTGCAGTTAGCAGCCCAACGTATAACCCCTACACCACCAGGGCACCTTTACTTAACTACATGTCAACCTTGTGATGTAGGTATTATTACCAGTTTCCAGATGAGGATTAAAAAAAAATTCTGCCCATCAGTTCTTAACCATAACAACTATATGTATGGTCTTCAGGGCTATAAACCTGTATAGGAAGAGACTGCTTCATCTCATTTCCTGAGCAGAGTGGTTGGTGGGTTTGAACTACTGACCTTGCACTTACTAGTCTAAAGCTTATCTGACAGCTCCACCAGGGGACCTACAAGTGAAGCCTTTTAAAAAAAGCCATACCAAACTCACGACTATCAAGGAGATTCCATAGGACAGAGTAGACCTTATAAGAAAGTAGAACTGCCCTCTGTGGGTTTTACAGGAACAGAATCCTTTAACTTTCTCCTGGGGAGCAGCTAGTGCAGCCAGTGAGCTAACACTCTCCACCCCCTGGGCTTCCAATTAGGGGAGGAGACCTGGCTCCAGGAGAATCAGTGCCTCGCCCAAGTTCACACAAGCAGTAAATGGCAAGGCCAGGTCAAGTTCTTTTAAGCACTACATTCCTCAGTCCTGAAAGTCAAGATGATTCCTACAACTACATTCCACAGGCACAAAGGAAGCACAGGCTCCTATTTCCCTTCACCTAAAGGTGCTGATGAGGCGCTGCAGTGGCCCAGTGGTCCAGTGCTCCGCTGAACAGTCAGGGCTAGAACCCACCAGCCTTTCCAAGGGAGAAAGGGGAGGCCAACAGTTCCTTCCCTGAGAATTACAGCTTTGGTACCATGTGGGGCAGTGCTACTCTGGTCTGTGGGGTTGTTAAGATTGGTTATGATGGGTTTTGTGTGAGCGTGTGCCCTCAAATGCAGTGTGTATGTGTAAGGGGCAGACACCATTGCCACAAAGTCTTAGAATTCCAAGTACATCATTGATGGCAGATTCAAATTGATTTTACTTTCATGAGAACCAAATAAGGAAGCACAAGTAAAAAAAATTTTCTTTCAACAATACACTGAATTTATTCTCCAGGAAAGTCATTAGCAGTGGTTAAATGTTTGGTTTCTAGAGAAAAAAAACTTCATTGGTCATTGTGTTCCAGATTGAGGCAGTAGTCAATTAACAAGAGTTAACTGGCAGCAAAGATAGCTATTTACTCCCAGATCGTTTTTATCAAAATCGTGTGAGCGATGTTTAATATAAATATTCATATAAGCCTCTCTCCAGCACAAAAGTCTATTCATGTATTTAGAACTCATAATGTTCAGATATTTCCCAGATCTTCTTGTTGTCCCCCCGTTCCGCCCCCCCCCCCCCCCCGCCCCCTCCCATCTTTCAGTAGAAAAATAGGCAGTGGAATCTTGTTCATATCATTACATGTTGCAACGCAATGCCAGATCTCATGTGCACCTAGGGATGTCACCTCAGATGTGCACCACTGTCCTAGCAATGTGTGGGGTTCATTCAGAAATGTACTGCCCCGCATACTAGCTGAGGCCCTTGAAACCCCATCCCACCTCAGTTGGCATATTTCCGGGGACTAGAACATGCCTGCAGTACCTGTTCTGCACGAGAGTGATCTCCACCAAGCACAAGGATCCCTCAGCCTCACATACATGGCAAATGGAGGTATTTGTGCAAAGATGGTTTACATGGTATTAAAACCAAACCAAAAACCCAGCCGCAACATGTTCTAGGAACTCAGTCAAAAGCCCCATTTCATGGCCCGGTAACACTGTTGAAGTCCCTGGGCAGAGCAGGTGGTTAGCTGTTTGGTCTTAAACACCCGTTTATGGAAGTTAATCCAAGTAAGTTGAATGATCCGTATAGGTTCCAATTTTAAATGCTTGAATTAAGGCAAAAAAGGTAAAAGAAAAACGTATGCCTTCGCTTACAACAGTGGTTCTCAACCTCTGGGTTGCGACCCCTTTGGGGATCGAAGGACCCTTTCACAGGGGTGGTCCGATTTATAACAGTAGCAAAATAACAGTGATGAAGGAGCAATGAAAATAATTTTATGGTTGGGGGTCACCACCACATGAGGAATGTATGAAAGGGTCGCGGCTTAGGAAGGTTGAGAACCACTGTCTTAGAGGCATGCCCAAACTCTCTCCCCTGGCCACGCTTTTGGATCACAAGGTCCCAGGGCACACACAGGTTACACACACATGAAGCCACAGAGCTGCTTCTATTTGGGGTTTCAGGCTGCAGCTTACTTGCTATAAAACGTTTCGAAGATCTGTTGCTGCATGAGCCATGGCACTGGGCTTCCGGAAACTGATTTCACATCATTGTAAATATTGCCTAATCTCTATTGTTTTCACACCCTTCAGCCAAGAGATGGATGAGTTAAATGCACCAAAACGTGTAACCACTCTGTCTGCTTCTGCCTGTGTGCAGGTCTAACAGCAGTGAGTCAGCTCCTGAAACTGAAAGTACCTTCTAATGACTGGAAACTGTGGATTAGGACTTTGGTAGCTAAGCCATGTCTCATTCTGCAGTCACCTTTGCAAAGGTATCTGTTATTCAAAGGGCAGACGACCTTGATGTATGAAAGGCTTACGTAGTTCAACCCACCATTTATTCGGCTTGAGGGAGTGTTCTCGGGTCCTGCCCAGCTGCCTAACTCCCGTGAGCTAGCGGTCAGAGGACAGGATTGCACATTACCTGGATGCGATTGCGTGTGTTCCTGGCCGGGACACGATGAACATTTGCCGTCCAGACTGTTGACCACAACGGTGAGATTGGCCACTTTTCTGTCGATGTAGCTTTCGATGTTGTTCATGTTGAGGCGGCTCAGCGTCTGCAGGCGACCCTGAAGGCCATCGATCTCCTCTTTGGCCGTCTTCAGGTCCGAGGACAGCTTGTTCACCTCGCTCTCCAGTTCCTGGACTCGGCCGTCCGCAGCCTCCCCCGGGGGCGCTCCGGGGCTGGGCACCAGCAGCCCGCTCCGGCCAGGCTCTCCGGTGTCATCCGCCTGCAGTCTGCAGTCCTGGCAGGATTTCTTCAGGTGGTTCACCATCTCCTTGAGGCTCTGCACTTCTTTCAACACCTCCTCCAGCTCGATCGGGCTGAAGTGCTTGGGGAGCTGAAGCGTCAGCGGCGGCAGGCGCACCTGGAAGGCGCAGTCGCCCCCAGCCTCGCATTTCCCGCTGCTCTCCAGCCGCAGCGGGCAGGCGGCCTTCGGGGGTCCATCGCCCACCTCCCCCGTGTCATTGCTGGCCACGACCACGAGGCCCGGCGCCGCCAGGATGGCGGCGCTCAGCCAGCACCAGGTAGCGAGCTGCATCTGGGCGGTGGCAGCACCCCGGCGGGGACGTGTGCTGCTGGGCGCTGCTTTAATAGCGGCCGCGGCCTGAGTCAGGCGCTCTGGGTTCCCAGAAAAGGGCGGGAGTGCTTGCATCACTGTCAGAAACAGAGGAAGAGGAGCCCATCAGCGCCCCCCAGGCCAGAGACAGCTCCGTCTTCTCGGCCCCAGAAAAATGTACGCGGACGGCTGTTGGTTGGGTCAGGTGCCCATGGATCAAGGCTTCACTTCTGGGTCTTCGTTTGGCAAAGCACCGGAACGTCTTAAGTTTGCCAAGTAATTTGTGTGCTGGAAAGAAATCATGGAGTCACACTTAAACCAGGGATCAAAGACACAAGTTCATGGGCTAGGTAGGGAGGCTGCTGGCAGCACAGAACTGTTAGCGAAATGGAAACCGTCCCCCTAGAAGGTGGCCTTGAGGGACCCTGTGTTTTCTTCTCGCTGGGCTTTTAGGTGAAATCGTAAGCGCGTTTCAAAGTTTCTCTTATAACAAAACGCAGTTTCCCAGCTCCTGCTGTGCTGTGGGTTTCCCCACATTAAAAAGAAGTACTTTTAGAGGGGTAAGAAGGGGGAAAAAGTTCTCCTTTTTACTCCTTTGGCCATAGTACAGGGTAGTGGAAGTTCCTAATCGGCTAAAACCCCTTTAAAAGTTTATCACAGTCTTTCACTCGAACCAGCAGCCTCCGGCCTCAGCCCTTCACTGTTTTGGTGATGGCTCTGCCCTCTTCCACCACCGCCCAAAGGGGAACCTGTCCGAGTCTTCCTGTGCCAGGCAGCCCTGCCTCTGCTTTCTCTCTCCAGAGAGGGCTCCTGAGCCCCAGCATCTGCCCACTGCGGCTGCCCCAAACGTGCTCACACTCAGGACAGTGTGTCTGAAACTCTTTTCCACAGAGGCCCAGGACAGCAAGGGGGAAACTGACCCCCTTTTATCTGTTATACATGCCAGTGTTTCCGATGAGATCTCTTTTAAAAGAAAGGGTAGGACTGCTTAAAAGAAAAAAGAAATTTCAAAATGACTGATGGGTATAAAAATCCAAACTCTTTAGCCTCGGTTCAAAGCAAGAAAAGTGCAGGGAGTGCTGTCAGGAAAGCTTTGGGCTGCTAACCAGCCCGCCAGCCTCTCCCTAAGAGAAAGCGGAAGCTGCCTGCATGGGAAACTCAAATGGGGTAGTTCTATCTGCCCTCCAGAATGACTGTGAGTCTGAACCCGCTGGATGGCAGGGAGCAGCGCCGCTAGTACCAGAAAAGGCTCAATGTCTTCGCTAAGATTTAAAAGCTGCTCATGCCTCGAGTGACCTTGATAGGGATGAAGAATTTGTTGCCAGTATGGGGTTGGTTTCCAAGTGAGGGCAGATTTAAATAACATTCGATGGTAAGTAGAAGTTGTCAGTCAGTCTGAAGGATTGTCTCAAGCAGAACACTGAATGTCTACAACATGAGAGGAGAGGTGGAGGGAAGGAGAGAGAAAAAAACATCAGCTCCAATTTGTTCGACCATCAAGAGCAAAAGATAGGTAGATAGATGATAGATAGAGAGATAGATAGATAGATAGGTGATAGATAGATAGATAGATAGATAGATAGATAGATAGATAGATAGATAGATAGGTGATAGATAGATAGATAGATAGATGATAGATAGATAGATAGATAGATAGATAGATAGATAGATAGATGATAGATAGATAGAGTTTTTAGGTGACCTTGATTCCACCCCTTATTGGATATATGGATCATAAACTTCACCAAGCTGTGGGTTTTGTAACTCTAAGAAGAAGTTTCATTATTCTTCCATCATTACAGAAGTGATTGTTATATCTTTGGGTGCTTATGAAAGCAATGCAGTGTATACATGTAACATTCTTTCCAAGCAAAATTGTCAAACATGTTCTACACACCTTCAGCCTCATTTTCCTCCATCTTCTTCCAACGGTTTAAAAAATTAAGTTTGTTTATCTCTTCATTCCATTGAGTAGATTCAGATGAATTTTAGACCAGAAAAGTTCGCTTTCTGCCTAAAAATATTTATTTAATATTCTCTTAATTGCATTCCGCTCTCCTCACCCACTTTCAAGATGTGACCGTCCCTGGTTATAAAGGAAGAAATAAATAACTGCATAATGTAAAAAAGAGAGGTTTATAATACAGATGAAGAACTATTTCATAACTAAAAACTTATAGGAAAGATGTTTAGTTTCTGGTGCATTATTAATGCCTTTGACAGTCAAGAGTATAAATTTGAATATTTAGCCAGTGATGTATTTATGAAGAATCTCATTAATCATACCTTAAGTGGGCGCCCTTTCTAACCCTTCCGAACTTTGCCCTTGGTAAATGCTGCCCTTTTTCTCTCAAATAGTTGATTATTCAAAGGTGTGTTTTCTTAACAACAAAGTGTATGTACCTCACTAGTGTTAATGTTCTCCTTAAAGACATGCCTGTTGCTTGGCTGAACGTTGAGCCAGGGGTTTGAGTTCATTTCCAAACCTGAAGGTGAGATTAGGGGCGATCGTCTATCCACCAGTCAGCCTGGGCTTTTTTATGATTGATAGTTTTTCTCTCACTCTGCGTGGTCCTTTTCAGAGCAGTTGGTAGTGGTGGCCAGATACCATCCAGATCTTCTGGTCTCAGGTCATCGACTGATGTTCATGTTCGTATTGCTCAGTAGTTTGTGGAATTCATTGTTTTCATGCATATTTTATTTATATCACTCTTCTCTCTGGAGGTTATTTTAATATGTAGGTTTTTATCTCCCAAAATGTGTTTTTTGGAGCATGAGTGGCTAGATGCTGATAAATGTTATATGAAAATAAAGTTTTATGGCAAGGGACAGTGTAAGATATAACAAAATAATAATAATTTATAAATTATCAAGGGTTCGTGAGGGACAGAAGGGGCGGGGGGAATGAGGAGTTGGTACCAAGGGCTCAAGTAGAAAGCAAATGAGGGCAACACATGTACAGATGTGCTGGATACAATGGATGGATGGATGGATGGATGGTGATAAGAGTTGTATGAGCCCCAATCGTGCTGCATTAGTTGACAGTGAGAACCTTTCCCCTTCCTCTGTGGCTCCCAGGAGTCTTCTGTTAAGCAGCAGGAAGTGGTGTTCTAGGTGAGAAGTGCTCAGGTGGTGGTCACCATTAGATGAGGGAGGTGGTGAACTAGTGGAGGAGGAGGAGGGGTGACAGTGAAAATGCAGACATTGTCACCATGGCGTGATAGGAACCAGAGGATCTGATGATGACCAGAAGGGCAAGAAGATGGAGAACTCTTAAATACAACTCCGTGGAGTTAAATGATGTCCTCACAGTGACAGCGAAAGAGGCAGCAATAGGTTGGGGAAGTGTGGGGGTTTATTTCTATTTTGAATATAAGCCACCAAATAGAACTATTTAGCAAACATTTGGACACCCACCAATGTATGCAAACCAGGAAGGATGGATTCGGAAGTCAATTTAAAACCATATATAGGAAATGGATGACTTCACATGTCTCTTCTAGCAATAGTCTTTGCTGCTCCCATCAAATGACCTGTACATGATGGCTCTGAGTAAAGAAAGTGGAATAAGACACTGTCTGTCTGAATAATTGTATCCTGAGCTTTTGTAACTTGTTAACTTCCTTAATAAACTCCATCTCTTTTACTGACATCAAATCCATTCTGACTTATAAAATCGATACTCTATAGAACAGAGTAGACCTGACCTTGTGAGTTCCAAGAATGCCTACAATTCATACTGGATTTGGGGATATGGTACAAGAGTGTTTATTTGCCAGGGGTCAGTGTGCACTGAGAAATTGTTGCTGTTGTTTCTGAAAAGGGGGCTATACACCAAACAACCTATGTACTATACCAACAGTATCGTCTGAGCGTTCTCTGTGGTCATCGCAATGGACTATCTAACCCAGCTGAAAAGTAGAGTGTTGTGGAATGGACAGTTGGTGTTGGAACTGGGAGGAAGGTTGAAGGGTGCGGTATGTCAGACCTCAGCCTCATGGAAATCAGTGCTGGGAGTGGCTGGTGTGGAATTTGATTTTCCTTCCCCACCTTATAACTGGAGGAGGCCAGAGGACACTCCTGCTTCACATATTGTCCTTCGTTACAGTTGGCGACAGAAGTATTGTTTGCAATTCCTCCAGTCTCATATATTTTGTAAGAGAAAGAATGAGAGGGGTTTGGGACATAAAACTCTTGATTCTTAGGTGGTTCCTCTGGTTATTGTTACGCGTAACGGCTGATGGGAATGTAAGAAAGATTCTGTAGCTGAGAGGAGAAAAGTTGCTTCTGGAGTGGTCTAGGGTAAAAGCCAGGCTGGTTCAGGGATGCACAATTGATAGGGGGCCAAGGCCTTACAACCATGCTAGAGGCTAAATGCACATAAATTGAGATTCAGTCCAGAGATAGAGAAAAGAAGATTAACCTTGAGTCTTTTTTAAAGGGTTAGGCTTAATGTATTTAAGCCTAACTATCGACATTCTCCTACCTGTATTGTAAAATAGGCCTATGTGTTTGATGAAAATCAATAATCATTATTACAGAAAGATTGTAAGCTTGACTTCAGTTTATACTTGATTGGATAAACTAAAAGGGGAGTTAGTTATTTGTCAAGAAGGAACAGGCTATTGTTTCAAGCTTATGTAGAGTTGAGGGCTTAGGTGGAAACCTGAGCCCACTCAAAAGTGTTGAGAGAACAGGAGATTTGTTAGATCTCTCTGTAGCTAGATATACCTCGGTCCTTGGCTCCGCGCGAGAAAGAATTCACGCCGAAGCCTGGTTCGTGATCCAAGTGAATTTTATGAGCGTTAGAAGAAGTTTCAGGTTTACAGGACACCCGAGGGACTCCTCCCGAGCATACAGCTTGTCTGGAAACTGCTCGGCATCATGCAAAAAGTGTCCCAAAGTTCCTCCAAAGTTCTGTGGGCTCCTGCCTTTTCAAGGATTCCATGGGGAGGCCTGGTGAATGAGCCCTGATAGACCCTATTGGCTGAATTG